TTATTGATTTAATAAATGTTGATTTTGTAGATATTCAATGATTCATATCCATTAAAAGAAGAAGTTATAGAAAATATGATAATATAATGGACTTCCCATTTTTTTAAATATTTTTAACAATTTATAAATTGTTTTAACTTATAATATGTAAATTAAATAACATTATATACATTTCATGTTTTTTTATGTATTTTGTATATTATTATTAAATATATTATGAATTTATTGAATATAGTCTACTTGAAAAATATATATTTATTATTATAAAGAAAGGTTGATGTATAAAATAAAAAAATTATTTTTAAAAAAACTATAACATTTTATGTCGGATATAAATATAATAGACATAAAAGGTACATTTTCTATGACAGGTCATATCGTAATCATCATAGAAAAATGAAACTTTATATGACGGTTAACATAGAAACTATCATAAAAAATATTTATGCCAAATTATTTTTTATCTTATTTTTAAACTTTTTATGAAGGTTGAATGTGCAACAACATAGAAAGTGATTTTTAAGTTGTTTAAAAAATGATAATGTAGATTTTTTTATATCTTTTGTATCTATGTTGGTTTAGAAACCAATATAAAATGTCTAAAACAATCGATATAAAAAGGTCTTTGTCTAATAATGACATTGTTATAATCAATTTTTACATCCGAAATGATATTGTCTATTTTATAATTCTCATCCATCACAATTTTATCTTTAAAATACATATCAATAATTTAGAGATAAAGGATATACATAAACTACCCTTAATGTGGTCTTCTGTACTATACAGGAATCATAAATATATTATAATAAAAATATTAATTTTAATGGACTTTTTTCTCCTGTGACCAAAAGTCTAATATTATTTAAAAAGCCAAAGTAAAAAATAATCTATATAAACTATCTTCCCTTAAGCCTACTATAGTACTGTCAAAAAGAACTTACATTTAAAGCAATTTTAAATCTCTTAAATTGTAAAATATAATTCAAACATGTAATTAAATTAATTTAAATCGTATATTCACATCTTTCTACAACGGAGAGAGACGCAAATATGGACGAAATCTAGCGACCAACGATGGCACACATTGACGTAGTAGTGTACGATATAATGAATACGGTGAAAAAGATTTATCAACGGTGAAGTAGTTTACACAAAAAGGTTGGGCCACTAAACTGTCGCTATTTATATTAATTGATGCATACATATCTGACATTTTCACGCAACGTCAAACTGCTTCGCTTTATAAAAATTTCCCGTTCTCTCAAAATACACAGAATAAAATAAAAATAGAAAATAGAAAAAAATAATAATCACAGGGACACGTCAAGGAAGGGACACTTTGTGGGGTACCCTAAGGAACAGTCTTGCCGAGAAAAATCAAAAGTGGATCAGAGAATTAGCGTTCCCTATTCGATGACGCTCAACGACACCATCCACGTTTCGTTTTCATTGTCCTCTGCAGTTATTCCTCACATTAAAACTAAATTAAAATTGAAATATTTTTTGTAATATATGGTTCCTGCAATGCTCTACGACTTATGGTTATGGATATATTGTAAAACAAGGAAGAGAACAAAAATGTGTGACTACCATTATTATATACTTGCTTCAATTGAGGCCATGTTATTTTCACGTATTGTTAGGTCAACTTCATACATCATTAGGTGAGAATTAAGATTAGTCACGAATTCCACTCAACTTGACTTCTGATTTAAGTATTAGGTAGGTCTTGCACTATAATGTCCATTGATTATTTCCTTTTGCCAACCTTTGTGAGGAAAAGTTTGTAGTGTTACCTAAAAAGATACCCTTGCTATTTAATTTTAGTAATATGTAACTACCACTTATTTAATTTGCATTAAATTATTCAGTACTTTGGTTATATGGTCAAGTTTTGTTACTTTAATTGGTGGAGCATTTTTTATGATTATATTTTGTTTTAAACGTAGTGACCTATATTTGATTTTTATATACTTTTTCTTTTGGTATTCGTTTTCCCTCTCACACTATGGTTTTCTTTTGAATAATAGTAAGGTCTTTCTACTAACTCAATAATCCACCACTATACATCAAACAGAGCATAAAAATATATAACCCATTAATTTAAAAATAACAATCTAATATAATTTTTCTAAAAAGACCCCTTATAAACCAACTTATTTAACCTTTCTAATAATTATCCTTATTTTGTTTTGTTTAGAATTTATATATCATGAATAATATTAATTCTATGTTAGGCTAAATCCTAACACACATGTCACTAGTTAGGATTAGCCTAGAGAAGGTACCTAGAACAATTGTCCCCAACTTAATGTTTGTGGGTAAGAGTGACATCGTGATGCATCTCATCCAATTAGGTTTATAATAATAGGGTATATCATTCACCTACAAAATTTAATGCTTCACACATACTTTTAATGTACGACATTATTTGTTCAATAAAATTTGCAATTACGAGATATAGAGACAAAAAATATTATGATATATTGTTATAAGTTTTTTCATATTGTTAAAAGTTATTATGTAAATAACATATCTCTTAATACATTAATTCATGGTAAAATAGTCTTGATGGGTAGATGTTGATGGAAGAGTAATTTATAATGAATTTTGCATATTTGAGGATTAAATTATGAACATACAACTTTTTAAAGATTAAGTACTTATTTGATTTCATGTTATTTATAAAATAATAAATAATGTTTACCTGTTATGTTTATATAAATAATACTAAAAATAATAATTCAAAGTTTAAATTTAATTAAAAATATATGACTGTAAATAACTCAATATATTTTTATACATAAAATTAATTTTGATATAAAAATATTATTAAAATATATCTTTTTTTTTTTTGCACTTATCAATTATTTTAACAAATAATTTTGCTAAATATTTTATAAAATCAATAACCACTCTAAAATTTTTATCTTAGCAACTAGATTTCGATTATCAACTACTTTTTAAATAGCTCTTGCGAAACATAACTTTTAAGTGTTTGTTATTTAGATATAAATAAGTTTTATTTTTATTTATAAGAATTGAATATATTTAAGAAAATTTATTTCAACTTACAATTTGATATGTGAAATGAGAAACTATCCATGCATGTTCTCTTTTAAGTTTTTCTTTTTTTAACATTACAAATGTATATCTTAATGAAGGTTAACGTAATGATTTAAAAAGAAAAATAGGAAGATGTAAATTTAAGTTTAGAAAACTTAAGAGTGTGTAAGTGTATTTTATTAATGAAATTTAATATAACGTGTATGTGTATACAAAAGTTTATTGAAGATTTGGTGAGAAATCGTTGAAAATGAATAGAAATCTGATTGGTTGGTGAACATTCAATTTGTCTCCGTTATCGGATTCATTGTGTTTGATCAATGATAACAGCCATTATAGCAATGTAAAGTGCAGGAAATTAGGTTCATCATGACCACAATCCTCCCCAACTTCAAAGGACTGAACCAATGTCTTATTGATCAAAAAGATCACCTAGCATTATGGAACTGAAGCCATTCAAGACTTCACCTTGTAACACTGCAAAGCTTGAGTGGAGAAAATGAATGGGGGATAACCATGTACTTGATCCATAAATTCTTTGCCAAATATACCTTTCTTTACCCTTTTGAAAATGTGCTAAACAAAAGACATATTTATGTGAATTTCAATATAAATTATATTACCAAAAACAATACATTATTTCAAACTTTTAATTATAAATTTTAACATACAAATACAAAAATGCTGTTTGTGAAGGAGTATAAGTGCACAAACAAACCCTTGTGACTTTTTTTTGGACTCTAGTAATAAATAGTTCGAATTGAAATGTCATGTTAGAGGAAATTAATTGACTTAATTTTTTTATTATTTTCCCTGAAATCATGTTTGTAAACATGTTGCATCAAATAAAAAAGAAGGTAGATAAATGGAGTCAAATAAAAGACGCTGACACGGTTAATTGAGATAATATAATACCATACTTACAATCACTAACCACTTCCTTGTACACATCACATCGCATAAAATATCGTCCCCTTGTTATACGTAAACAAAAAGAAGAAAAAGAAAGAAAGAGCATCGGATGCTATATAAAGTATTTAAATATTTTAAATTACGTTATTATTTATTATTCCAAGCCGAATCTGAGATCGCCAAATTTTCAAGCGGGTTAGCGAAAAACGACAAATAACATTCAAGTTATTTCAAATAATATTAATATTCTAATGATACATTTCTTAAAATAATATTTATTTTCATATATATATATATATGTATATATTTATATATATATATATATATATATTGTATTTCTTTAAAATAATTAATAAATAGTATCTATTATTTGAAAAATTAAATCACTCCACACCACTAGCTCTCTTTATATTTTTTTTATATAATGAAAAGTTGAGGTAAATTATTCTAAATATTCACATTAGAAGTTAATATTGTAATTATAATTTCTATTAGCTTGAACCAAATTTTGTTAATAACTCCTTTTATATTTAATATAATTACATATGCTCCATCATTAATATATAGTTACATATTTGAAATCCCTATTCATATTTCAGATTAAATATCATTGTAATGATTCTATGTCTTGGTAGTAGATATTCATTTTTATATGTGAAATTATTTAAACTTTAATTAGTAAAAGAATTTTGCTGTCAATAAATTTTATCCGACAATTAAAAGATAATTACTAATTAATATAATAAATTATTAAAATATTATCTTTTTTTTATTGAGTTTAGTAATATTTTGCCTGTGAGAACATGGGTCCTGTTTGTACGAAATAATCAGTGACAGTGCTGAAAGTTGAACAGAAGAAACTAAACATTGTGCATCTTCTTCTTCTTCTCTCTCTTTTTCTTTCTCTCTCCACCTTTCAGTTTCTTCCATCACTTCCATGCTCGCCTAGGGTTTCTCTCTGTTTCTCATGTGGATTGCTTTTTCTCCGTGCTGTGGATTCCATTGCTGAAGCACCTGTGATGTCAATGTGCTCCGTCTCTTCGCCTTCTCTTGCTGGCATGGCAGGTGTGACTTCTGTATTTCCGATTGCGCGTGGTGTCGAACCGTTTGATTTGTGATATCTCGTTCCGTTAGTTTCTGATGAACGGTGTTCTCTGTTTGTTTTCTACACTGTGTTGCTTTGTCTGATTCTGTTTAATGAGATTTCGATCTTCTCTTCGTGTGGTTTCGGAACATCAATCTGAAGAATCAGAAGAAGAAGCTGGTGCTCTTGGATTCTACGTGCTGGACGAAACAAACACAGACTGCATTTTTAATTTTATATATATTATGCATTTTCCGATATTTTGAATCACTTTGGGATGAATTTTATTGAATTATTTATTTATTATTTATACAGCTAACGATTTGGTTTAAAGTTTTGATTTAGTTATCTTTTTAAATCACCTTCATTGTTGTGTGTGTGATTTGAAGTTTTTTTTGGAAGGTTTATCGATCCTTAAGTTGATTCGCGTTACTGTCCGTACTTTTTGTTAATTTGATAATGTCGCAGTAAATATGAACAAGGATTGATTTACGCCTATGGTTTGGTTTCCATTTGATCTGTTGATTTCACTGATTGGTGAAGTCTTTGAATTGATAAAAGAAAATTTTCGCTTCACTTCAAATTAGCTAGTTTTTACTTGATGCTGGTTTTCTACAGAAGAATCAGCAAGGGGATTGTTTTGCTGGATATAAACTGGTACCTGTGCTTAAATGCAAATCAATTGGTTTTGCGAACTATCCATATCGAATGCTTAACTCATTTTTGAATACCCTGTTATTTAGTCCTTGGTTTGTCTCTGGTTAATCATCATTTTTTTTTATCAAAAAACGGAATATTTAAAATTCTTGTCTTTTGTGAGATAGATTGGCTAGTATTATCATCTTCACAATAATTACCGAGAGTGGCAAACTGTTAGAATGTTGGAAAGGAAAAGAAATTAGATATTTTGCTGTTTCTTTCTGTTCCATGTGCAATTTGATTTGTGTTCCTTGCAGAAGACACTTGTCCTACATGTGAATGTTGTATGAGTTTGCTGATTTTGTAGCTTCTCTTACCATTTTGAATTTTTTATGATGTCCATCTTTGTTTTCATTTGATTTCGTTCTTTCACTTTTAGGGGTCAATTTGTGTCCTTGTTTCCTATTACTCAATTTACAATTTTATATTTCCTCTTCGTTTGCTGATGCGTTCAAATTTTGGCCTTTGCATCAGGTTTCAATCTTACGTAGCTGGTAAAGAGGTGGATATACCATTTTGAGTTATAAATTTGATTTGATTGTACCAATGGTTTTGATTCTGAAGTTGGACTGCAGGTTCACTGTCCTTGAGTTGTGAGTTTATGGTGTTTGATACACTGCATGAGAAATAAAGTAGAGTAGACTTTTACGTTGAGAGACAAACTGTTTCTGTTACTTCTGCCACACCGAAGTTAGTGGTACAATTTGTCTCTAATGGGTTCATTCTCTGGCACTTGTGAAATTGTTGAAGCAAGGGACGACCTAAATACAGAGAAAGATGCAGGGATATATCAGTCCAATTCTAAATATAGCTTGGATGAGAAAAATAGGAAGCATCCTGTGCTGAAACTGGGATATAAGGATAATCTAGATGATGATATTAATAAGCTGTTTGAATCAATTACTCTTAAATCTTCATCAAGGGATTCTGGCGTTTTACAAGATGGTACAATCCCTAAGATGAAAAGTGCATTGAAAAAACCAATTACAGTGGGTGCTTCTCGGTCCCCACGAGTTGGACCTTCTGAGCCTGTGACTTTGAAGCAGGCGTTAAGAGACCTATGTATATCTAAGGCATCAGAAATGGCTGCCATGAAAAGATTATCAAAGTCAACTGCTTCTCCAAGAATATCTGAGGTTGGGAAGATACAGACATTGTACAATTCAGTTGTAGTTGAAGGTAGACAATCTGGGCCTTTCAATGTTGAGAGTAAAGGGAGTGCAAGGGAAATATCTTCAGTGCCAGAAGAGAGCAGCTTTCATGCCTTGGATAATGCTTCTCAGTCTCATCCAACTGTCAAAAGCACATCACTGTGCCAAAATGTTCAATCTTCCAAAGTTTCTGTTGAAACTACTGAAAATGATACTGGGGCTTCATTGATGTCAATTGACTTGGCTAGTTCGTCAAGTAAAGTTGGGGTTGTATTTGTATCACAGTCTTCAGAGCCTGCTCAAATAGAAAAACAATCAACTGCATCTTCTCCATCTAGTTGTAACATCAATGGAAGTAAATTAGAGGTTCCGGAAAATGCTTCTTCCTATAATAAATTAGGAAATAAAACATCTGTATCAAAGAATGGGCAGAAAGGTAGGTTACAAACAGTCTCTTCCTCGTCTACTTCGGTAAATGGCAATAGAGTGTGCAAAATGTCACGCCATGCCCCTCGCACGGTCAAATCAATTATCAAGAACAAAAATGTGGGTAAGAAAAAACTAAAGAAGGATTCAGTTTCTGCTTTATTTGATCCTACATCCAATGAAGTAAATAACGAGTCAGTTCCTGGTACAACTCAACTTGTATGTGAGAGATGTTGGTGTGCTATAGAAAACAAGAAAGGTATTATATCGTTGGACTCTATTAGTCCCGGAGATGGAATAAACTCTGTTAATGTGCACTCAGGCTCAGCATCAGCTGGCAATAATAGCATCAGAGAAGTTACAGAAGTGAAAAAGAATACTGTATTGAAAGAGCAACTTGAATTTTCTCAAAGTTCAAAGAGTAGCCAAGGTGACTACAGTAGTAGTACAAGTACAAGTGATGAGAGTAATCTCAGTGGGTCTAGTTGTGGTAATAGGCCTCACATGTCAAAGGATGTTAGATGGGAAGCCATAAGACATGCTCAAATGCAGCATGGAGTCTTGGGCTTGGGACACTTCAATCTTTTGAAGAAGCTAGGTTGTGGAGACATTGGGACTGTATATCTTGCTGAACTAGTTGGCAAAAATTGTTTGTTTGCTATTAAAGTGATGGACAATGAATTTCTGGCAAGAAGGAAGAAGATGCCTAGGGCTCAAACTGAAAGAGAAATATTAAGGATGCTGGATCATCCTTTTCTTCCAACACTGTATGGGCAATTTACATCAGATAATTTGTCATGTCTGGTCATGGAATATTGTCCAGGTGGTGATCTTCATGTTCTACGGCAGAAACAGCTTGGTAGAAGTTTTTCAGAGCCAGCTGCAAGGTACATGCTAAGAGAATCTGTTCAGTAATATATTAGGATTTTCTTCTGTTTGGTGAGAATTATATTATAAGCTACCTTGATCTACAGTTTTAGATACTCAACAAATGCCATGATTGTGAGTATTTCCTGGTACAATCAAATTTGTTTAATTCAACTTGTTTCTGAAAGCTGCTTGTGCTCATTCCTCATAAATCATCAGCTGTCTTGCATTTATGGTGTATCTAGTGCAGGCAATAAGGTTTTAAACCTTAAAATATGTTTATATGATGTAGTATATGCTTAGTTTCTGTCTTGTGTAAATGCGATTTTATGAACTTTAATATGGTGCATTAAGAATATAAATATGGATGCAGCTTATATAACTGGGAAACGAAATCTGTCTTTTACCTTTTAAATCCGGAAGTTATGAAATAGTGTCAATAATTTGTTTCACTGTAATTGTGCTTCAGGATACTTGATTAAGTAGAAAAGTGATAGAATTTCAATCGAAATGCTAATATGATACTGAATACAAAAATCACACATAATACTGCAATACACTTGCTTCCCAGAGACCAAGTCTTCTATTAGAAGTGCAAATAACAGCACATTTAATTAGACACCTCACTATCAATTTTATATTCCTAATGCATAACTGCCATAAATTATTTTCTATTGATAATGGCCATTATGCAGCTTCTAATGCATTACTGCTAATATAGGATAAGTTATTTTCTATTGCTCATGCTCCTAATAATAACTACCTCAATTTCATTGATGGATTGTTTCCTGACGCACTTGAATCTCTGTTCCCCTCAGATTTAGGTTATGAAATCCTACTGGTAACTTTGGTTACTGATTGATGAGGCTTTTTAAGAAATATATCATGTTACTTTTGCTGCCCAGTGTCTCTTTGATCTGCTGTCATGCAACTGACTTGTGTGATGTATGTTTCTTTTGTCTGTGCCTCAGCCATACTCTTTGACTTCTATTCACCTACTAAACCATCAGCCTCTCTATGGTGCTGTACCCTGAATATTTTAGTCCTTGTAGCATTCACTGCTAGCTAATCTATTCTTGAAGGCCACTTATTTAGCATCGAAGGCGACTTTGCAATTATTGATTAAATTTGGTAGTAAGAACTTCCTCGTGCACTTATGAATGGGCATATGCTTTCTGTTGTCAGTTTTTGCTGTAAGTTAATACATGTTTGGATACGTGGATTTGGGCCCATGGAACATAGCCCTGGGGATGACATTGTTCTTTCACATAGAGCATTGTTTGTCATTTGAAGCAAGTGTCTTTTTTTTAGTTGAATACAATTAAAAATGAGATGGCATTTATATAGAAATTTATGTGTAACAAGAACTGCATGAATTAAGCCCAATATAGAAATTTCCATGTTATTAAGGGGAAGGAAAGGGAAAGTTAAGATTGATGTATATACATGTGAAATTAAAAGTGCTTGCATATTTTTAAATCTGTCAACTTTCAATATCTTGTTATTGTTATTATTATTATTATTATTATCATCATCATCATTATTATTGTTATTATTATTGTAATAATAATGTTTATTTCAAAGTTTCTAGTTTCCACAAAGAATTATTTGTTTCTCTTCTCACCATTTTGTCTAATTTAAATATCTATATATTTAAAATTCCTGCATTTAGAAAACTAACAAAGTATTATTTCTGTGTCTCTCAACACAATTTGATGGAAATTAGGTGCATTGCACTGGTTTGCTGTTAGTCTTTTTGATTAATAGTTGTCCTTGTACATTCGTGCAATTTTTAACAAATATATATACCATACATACTGTCTATTCCGGAACAAATTGCTTTGATTGCTTCCATCATTGAAAGGGATTTCTGTTCAGCAATGTTGTCAGTCTAATCCAACCTTGTTGGCAACATGGAACAAATATTGGAGCTTGATTTTGTATTCACAAGAACCTTTGTACATGCAGGTTTTATGTAGCTGAAGTCCTTCTTGCTTTGGAGTACTTGCACATGCTTGGAGTGGTTTACCGTGATTTGAAACCAGAAAATATTCTTGTTCGGGAAGATGGCCACATAATGCTTACAGATTTTGATCTGTCACTTAGGTGTGATGTTAGCCCAACACTTCTGAAGTCATCTTCTGATATGGATCCTGCTAAAAATTCTGGTCCTTGTGCTCAATCGAATTGCATTGAACCATTTTGTATCGAACCATCCTGTCAAGTTCCATGCTTCAGCCCTAGGCTCCTGCCTCCTGCCGCAAAAGCAAGGAAATTAAAAACAGATGTTGCTGCTCAGCTCAGATCATTGCCACAGCTCGTGGCTGAACCCACTGATGCAAGATCAAATTCATTTGTTGGTACACATGAATATCTGGCGCCTGAGATAATCAAAGGAGAGGGACATGGAGCTGCAGTTGACTGGTGGACATTTGGTGTTTTCCTATATGAGCTCTTATATGGAAGAACACCCTTTAAAGGTTGTAATAATGAAGAAACATTAGCCAACGTGGTGTTGCAAGGTCTCAGATTCCCTGACACCCCATTTGTTAGTTTCCAAGCCAGGGATCTCATTAGAGGATTGTTGGTTAAAGAGCCTGACAACCGGTTGGGTACAGAGAAAGGGGCTGCCGAGATAAAACAGCACCCCTTTTTCGAAGGCCTTAATTGGGCCTTAATACGTTGTGCAATCCCACCAGAACTTCCAGACTTATGTGAATTTGGAGTTTCCGAGATGACTCCACAGTCCCAGTTCAAGGGTGTTAACTATGTAGAGTGTAATGCAGCAGGAGAGCAAGTGGAATTTCACTTGTTTTAAAGAGACCCTCATTTGGCAACAGTGGCATTCTTGTTATGGATTCCCTTGTTTTGGCTCTATGCTTCGCTGCAAGAAGTTATGTAAGCCTATGTTGTATAGTAGTTTTGAGTATAACAGGGTAAAATGTACCTTTTTGAGGTATAGAAAGTTCAGCTTATACAGCAACTTGATACTCGCATGCTGAAAAAGTATACTTCCTCAGAAAAAAAAATGTCATACTCATCCAGTTACACATGCAGGCGGGAGATGAGATTAAAGAATTTTGTTGTCAGTAAACGTATATCCAAGCAATATCCTTCGGTAGCAACAACAACTAAGAATAAATCCTAGAAGTAATTTTACATAGACTTTTTAAAGTATTGCGTGGACTCTAACGAGGTGAGTTTAAAATGTGTTTAAACAAGCACTTGAAAAATAATTTTGACACTAAATTAGTCATGAATTTACCATGTTATCAAATCAGTTAGAGAATGAAATCAACAAAAGCATGAAATTGTACATTTCTAGAAGTTTGAGGACTCTATCTACTGCACAAACTTTTCTGTAGATATTGTGATAATATCATGTACATCCTTTAAGTCAGGTTGTTCCTTGTAAGGGATGTGCATTGTGGGACAGATTGGCCATCCGTTCTACCATGAGTTGCTGGGACGGATTTCTCATGATGGATTCGTTTGTATCTTTTGTTTTGTGTTCTCAGTGTCTTTCTGTAATGATTGTGGGCTCTAAGAGGGAAATTGAATACCAAAAGGGAGCCCAATTGTGCAATTTCTATTACCATAGAAGGGTTTTCTTACAATGAGAATGATAGTACTCCAAGATAATGTAGAAAATGAAGAAATAAGGAACAATTTTCATAATAGGAGAGATCATAATTGTTCCTTCCACAATTTTCCTCTTATACTAGAAGTTATTTATTACTGTTAGAAAAGTAGGTTGAGATCAAGAGGGGGGTGAATTGATCTTTAAAAGATTTTCGCAATTAACAGATTATCTATTTGTAAAAATAAGATTTCAGATTTGTTCTTGAATCACAAAACAATCAATCAACAATAAACGCAACAACAGAATTAAAAGAGGAGAAAGGTTTAGAAAGATATCACCGGTGTTTATATTGGTTCACCCAATACCAGGGCTACGTCTAGTCTCCAGCCAAATTCCAACTGGGTTCCACTAGATCAAATGTTTTACAGATTACAATCTTACACTTAATCTACCACAAGAACCACAATTCCAGTTCTTGCACCTAACCTTTCACCAAGAACCAAATTCCAATTCTTGACAACATCTACAACCAAATTCTAGCTGCAGAGAAACCAGTGCCCACAATTCCAGACACCAAACAATACAGTAAAAGAATGAAAAGAAATGAAAAGAAGAAACTAGAATGCTCAAACCAGTTTTATGCAATTCTGCAGTGAGTGTTTCTTCTCCAAAAGAAAGCAATTTGCCTCAAGAAAGAATTTCAAAGAACTTCACAAAAACTGACGCGAATCTTTCTTGAAAGAGTGCTAAAATTTGTTTGCTTGATTGCTAAAGATTGATGTTCAATGTATGTTTAAAATGTTCAAGTCAAACTGTTTTTGTAGAAGATTTTCAAAACTGCTGGTTTAATCAATCTGTTAAAATAATCTTTTAATCTGTTAAAAGTCTGGTTTTAATCTGTTAAAACTTCTTTTAATCCATTAAAGCGTTCTTGATTATATAACAGATTTGTTTTAACTGATACGACAACGTTTGTATCAATTAAAACTCTTTACAAAAAATCTTCTAATTTGTTTTAATCGATTGTTTCGTGATTCAATCGATTAAAATACTGCAAAACTTTCTTTGTAAAATCTTCAAAGTGATTTTAACTGATAAAAATAAGTTTTAATCGGTTAAAACGCTGTGTAGAAATTTTCTAAGTTGTTTTAATCGATTGAAACGTGTTTTAATCGATTGAAAAAGCTCTGATCGGTCATAACTCAATTCTGATCGATCATATCTGATTCTGATCGGTCATAACTCAATTCTGATCGATCATATCTGATTCTGATCGGTCATAATTGCATTCTGATCGATCATCCTGAACACTAAGTGGATTTAATCGATTAAAACCAAGTTGTATCGATTAAAATTCTGCAAAAACACTTCTCTTAACATTTTAAGTGATTTTAATCGGTTATTTCGAAGCTTTATCAGTTAAAACACTGACAGAAGGTTTTCAAAACTTTCTTTAATGAAAACAACCGGTTATTTCGAAATTATATCCGTTAAAAACTTGTTTAAGAAAGCTTTTGTTAAAATACTTTTTTTTAACTGCTTAAACGTTTCTAGAGGCATTTTGCAAAATCTTTTAAGTGAAGAAACCTCATGCAGCAGAAAAGATAAAAATGATTATACCTAAGCAAAGTTGCGGACACACTATTCCCTCTACTTCTTTTATCTAAGTGATTGTTGACCGCTACAAAGTTGACTTTGACTTTATCTTTGACTTCATCAAATCAACAAGATCTTTGTCAGAGTATTTCAATAAGATCTTCATCACTTTCAGTCTCCCCCTATTTGATGAAGACAAACATCACTTTGAAAAATAACTCTGCAAGAGAAGTCACTTGATAAAACTGATTAGTTAGAAATAAAGAATGAATTATTTTCCTATTTCTCCCCCTAAATTGTTGCTGCCCCTAAATAATCCTAAATTGTTTCTGATCAACAGTAAAGCAACTATTCTCCCCCTTTTGACTTCATCAAAAATAGGGAACAAAAGAGAAACAATGCAAAGGTATGAAATAAGATTGAGATTTTGAAAATAGAAAAAAAATGAATACGATATTTTACTCATGTAAAGATCAATCAAAGTTGATTCAAACTTGTCTTCATTAACACGTTTGTAATGAATACAATTAACACGTGTAAAGATAAGGGAACCATGCTTTAGTAGCATGTTACAAGAACAACCATTAACTAAAGCCCTTAATTTTTCTTTCCAGAATAAGAATCGATTAAAAACAGGACAAAATCAATTAAAAAGTTATTGTTAATGATTTTAATCGATTGAAATAAAGGTTTAATCGATTAAAACAGTGAAGGACTTCGAAAGTATGAGACATAAGTGCATTTAATCGATTAATTCGACATTTAATCGATTAAAACAGTAAAGAAAAATGTTGTATAAATTCTTTTAATCGATTTAAAAGATATTTTATTGACTAAAACAATCAGTTTTGCAAACTAAGTAATGTTTTATGCGAATTTATCATGTTTAATCCAGTGTAAGTTTTGTAACACCGATCATTTAGAAGGATGTTTTACAATAATATCAACTATATCGATTTCGATTTTAACCAATATATCCATCAAAATCAGGATAAAATCTTATTTAGCCAATTTAACTGATGTAAACTAGTTTATATAAATTTTAATCGATTGATACGAAGTTTAATCGATTATTTTGTTGTGAAAGTGTTTCCTTTAATCGATTTAATCGATTAAATCCATTTTGTATTAGCTAAAAATATTAGGGATCTATGTTAAACTCTATCTAGGCTAGTTTGATTCGATTTAAAACCTACATTATATTAACCAAAGCTAAAAATATTGTACCTGGTATACAACCAGTAAATATTACAGACCAGAATTTGAAATTAGCATCAAAATAAGAAAAAGAAAGATAAGAAGGGACTCTTTTTATCCACAAATTCAATCATCCCAGTTTCCTTGGTTCAGCAGTAACATCTGAAACTCCTTTAGAATCATTGAAAGATCCTCTTGTTGGTTTGTTGTTAAGGATGCCAGATCATCAGTATAAAATTGATCCCGTACTGCCAATAAAACACACATACCCTGTGCTAATTTTAGCTTTCCATTCAATTCTTGAATTTCTGTCTCAGATTTGTCTCCTTACAGTATCACCTCGTGACCTTGATGATTAAAACGAATTATCAAATTTGCACAATTCCAATGAATTTCACCAAAAGTCTTGAACCAATGCATGCCCAAAATTATTTCAAATGTATTGCTAGGTAATACCAAGAATTTTAATGAAAACGTGTGTTCATTGAATTTCCAAGTTATCTGTTCACACTTCCTAGTAATCAACAACTTATTATCAGAAGCAACCATCACTAACAAATCCTTGATAAACTATGTTTTCAGTCCCAACAACTTGACCCATTTGTCACTAATGAAATTATATGTATTCCCAGAGTCCATAAGAAAAGGGACAGTCTACTTCTTTATAATTCCTTTGATTTGCAATGTATTACCACCCAGCATTCCATGTAAAGTACTAAGAGAAATGTAGACATCTACAGCTTGAATCATGTCTATGTTGTTGTCAAAATATAGTTTGTTCTTCCTCAAAGTCCATGTCTTACACTACATCGGCCTCAATTTCTTCCTGGGCAAAGAAGATAGCGTTGGGCTTACCCCAAACTTTACATTTCAACTTATGATTTTTATCTAATTTGTCACCACATAACCTACACAATCCCTTTGCAATCATGTCAGTAACTTCCTTTCTAAATATGGAAGTTGAGGTGCTACCTTTCGAATCGGTAGTTGCTGAAACAAACACCTAAAGCTTCAAACTGGTTGTAGAATGACTCTTTTTGCAGAGACTGTGGTTTATGAATTTTCACAGATTTTTCCAGTTCAGTTTTTATACCTAACAACGAAAAACTTAATGTCATTGACTCAGATATAACTACATGAGCCAAAAAAAACATAAACTTCCAAATATTCTCCCAAATCTTCCTCTTATTGCAATCTTGATAATTCAACAATATCCTCAAAAGCACGATCAACAAATCGATATGACATATCTTGTGATATTTGTTCCCAAGATTTATTCTTGAAACTGGGTTGATGATGCAATGTCGCTACCATGAAAAAGTCTTTCCATCCATGGAAAACAACAATAACTTTCCCACATTATGCCACTAGTCTAGTTTCCAATTCAAAGATTTGTTCAGTCTTTGCTTTCCAATCATAAAAATTTGTGCCATTGAAAGGAA